GGTTTGTCATTTCTGCTGCAACTGTCACGAATTGTACAGGAAATGCGTATGTTCTTCTTTGCAGATGCTTCAGTAGGAAATTTAAATTATATATTTTGGAACATTTGCGTTATAGTTTATTATTTGTTGGAACCCCTCATTTTATTTTGCCTGAAACTTAAAGCTAAAATGGTCGATTTTTCTCCACGTTTAAGCTGATGTTGATTGTTGACGCGAGCTTATGTTAACAAATGTAACAAATCTGTTAATCGGTGCTGAAGAAATGCCGATTCCATAGGGGTAGTTGTTGAACAATCGCCGCTGTAGTGTTTGGAAACTTAATCTGTTGACTGCCCCAGCTGCTTGTACACGGTGTCAGTGTCCTGAAAACTCTGGGCTTTATGATTCATTGTCACGTAGGCTGAGCTGCGTTAACTGCGTGCATTTGTACATTAAACATTATCACCCGTTGCAGTCAACAGATTTAAACTTGAAAAGGTACAAAACTACACTGTATTTGGGGCAGCTGCAAAGAATCGAAAAACCAGATGCTTGAAATCAGTAGAAGAGTCAAACTGGCATGTAGCAATTTTGGAAAGTCGAAAATAATCCTGTCCGAGAAAATGCCATAGCACGTATCCTCCGTGTCAACGTATGAATGTGAATGATATGCTTGAAACATGAAGCTGTATACAAAGTACAGATTATACAATGCAGCATGGATAGATGTATATTGGAAACAACAAAAAAGATGGAAATATGAATGAATGAATAAAGACACAAACGGTCGTGTGCGATGCCATTTCAGGAGCTAAGAAATTGAAATGACAATTGCTGTACACGTAAAAAAGCCACCGTCGCTTGACTAAAGAGATAGATAGCCTGATTCCAAGAGGACCGTAAATAAGCGGTGTGGAAACCTTCAAGTCCATGCCAGGATGAATGAAAATGAGCGGCGCAAATTTGTTGAAACAAAGTGGATGAGAATCGCTGAAAATTAAATTTGTATCAAAATCTTGGAAAGGCCTTCATCCTGTCAGTGGAGCGAAAATAGCTCAGATATGACCGTTACACTGGGGATACGATCGTCCGCGTCAGTACGAAAAAGTCTAATACTGGTTCTTGCTGAATAGTGTATATGTCGAATGGGACTTACACAAAGCAAGTTCACTACTAACAACTGCTCAAACGCTTGTAGACTGATGCCCAACTGTCAGTCATTAATGCGGCAGTCTTAACGTCGATGGTCTGACCATAGAATTGACTTGACGTTTCACGATGAATACTTTCCTTCGGTAAGTCGACGGAATAATGGTGCCTAGTAGTATACTACTCAAAAGCTATTGCTTGCTCAAATCTTCACTGTACGGTTGGTCGCTCCTGACATACGAATAATGCAGATTTCCTAACCGCAAAATGAAAAATTGTCTTTCGAATTTGCTTCTTGAAACCGTCGTGGAGTCCTTCAACTGCCTCCGAAGTCTTTAAATTTAACTGTACGGTAATTACTCACATGCAGCTATAAGATGTAAGTCCTGTGAACCGCAAAGTAAGCAGAGGATTGAAGTGAGATGTTCCTCATGCTCTAAGTGTTCGATATTTTTCCACGTGCTATAGTTAGACATCTCCATCCATACGTCATAACAAGACTACTAGGTGTAAAATTGAGAAATGGATATAAAGTTATTTTTGAAACAATGTTAATCATTTGTTTGACACCTATAACACCGTAACAGCTGGCAGTAACTTGCACAAAATTGGACATTATAATATCTGGTTGCGAATAATGGATGGCCATTCGACATAAAAAAATACACAGGAGAAAGTTTCTATAAAGTCATTTTTCATATTCATCTTCCATGGCCGCTTCTTCTTTCGGATCGCATAGACAGTCTTGTCAGACAGA